CCCTAAACCCTAAACCCAGGCCTTGGATGGAAGATAGAAGTCCTGTTGATGCTCAGAAAGCTCGCGTTTACAGCCCTTCTCTGCTCGGGCTGCCTCTTGGTTTTTAGAGATTGCAAGGGTTTAGGGTTTAGGGTTTAGGGTTTAGGTTGCAAGACTTGATGCCTGATGCTAATAAAATCAGTCGCTTTCCCTTGAAGACAAAAGGGGCCGATGCTTTAACAGCTCTCGCCTCGTAGCCGTCGTTGGAAAGGTTCAGGGCGATGCTCGTTTGAGAGCTGATGTCTGGGCTTCGTGCAAAAGCTCTCTAGCTGATGTTCATGTTGCCCTAAACCCTAAACCCTAAACCCCAGCTGATTGTGCTGATGTTCATGTTTCTCACACGCCTGGCCTTCAGTAGCAAAGAAAGATCCCGGTTGATGCTCGTGATGAGCCCCCGCTCGCCGTGGTTGGAAAGGGTTGCTGGCTGATGCGCATTGCTTTCGTGCGACTTGGCACCTCGCCCGTGCCGCCGTCGCCAGCCTGCCGCGTTCAAGCCAAGCAGCCCGAAAGCAAAGCCGGAATACGCCCTGCCATCCCCCAAAAGCGGATCTGAACCAGGAGATTGAGGACAGCAACTATCTTCCAGGCTACCGGGTGAACTTGCATCTTACCGACTCTGCCTGCGACGAGGCGGGTTGGCGACTGTTCATAACCCGGACACGTACAAGGGTCTAGGGTTGAGTCTAGAGGTCTGAGAAGACACTAACACAATTCCCGTACAGACACTACGCACTTTCTTACGAAAAAAACCCAAACCTTAGTTAAGAATCCTACCTGTAGTCTCCATTGTAGTTCCTTTTTGGGGATACCTTGTAAATTCCTTAATATATAATTGGTTAAACCAAAAAAAGGAACTACAATGGAGACTATAGGTAAACCCTGGGCGGGCGCGGAAAACCGTATATTAGTATCAGAGACTTCGAGTCTTCGGTTCGAAGGCGACAGTCTTATCAAACTCTTTGTCTCAATGGTANNTTTTTTTGACGGGGTGGGACGGTTCATGGCGAGGCGTTGTCTAGTGATTTAAACGTTTGCCCGTGCGTGAGCGCCGACATTCCCAACAGCCCAGCCCTAAATGTGCGAAGTCTGACCCCCTTAAAGTCCTACAGTTGTGTGTCTCGGCTTAGCTGAAACCTTGAACCGTCAAACCATCTCAAATGTCGAAATCCCAAACCCCAAGCCTTAACCCATAAATCCTAGAAGCACCGGACCGCAGGCACAATCGACAGAGGCCATCATCGAAGCATTCACCGTCGGGCCCACGAAGCACGCGATTCTGGGGGACATCTGCAGTCGCTTGGCTAGGAGAACGCTGGAGGCNNGGGTTTAGGGTTTAGGGTGTAAAAGGTTTGCGAGAGAGAGAGAGAGAGAGAGGGCCTCGAAGGCAGGGCCTTGCCCCTATGGTCTCCATTGTGTTTTTCGTTTGCAAAAATTATATATCTAGGATCCTGCAAGGAAACCCAAAGAATGAGCTACCATGGAGACTATGGGTAGTGATTCGAGTCGGGGTTCTATAAGGGCTGATTCCTTCACAAGGCTCCGGGAGGGTTTAGGGTTTGGGGTTTTGCTTTGCGTTCGTTTTTGCCACCTTTACACCAAACATCCTTCAAGGACTCACATGTTGCGGCTGTTGGGCCTTAAGATCGTTCCAGTTATGGCCGCTGGGCTTTTCTGCTGCGAGGTCGAGGTCTTGGGTATCGGGCTTAGGCCTGCAGTTCGGTAATGTAGGGGCCTTCACACTTAGAATAGGGCTTTGGGGTATATAATACTATCATTATAATAAGGAATCCCCAAAATAGTATAGGTAATTATTGAGGCCCCTATATATGAGGGTTTGGAGTTACCGATAAAACGAAGGGACATGCGGGTCCCAGGTACCATACTATTGGGTCCCCCGCTATCCATTCGTGCTATCTTCAACCACAACAGCGACAGTCGTTTGTGTTTGGGATGAAAAATTTGTCCATGATTTTGTTGTCGACACGATGTGGCTTTTATTGTTTCCATGTGCAAGGTCAGTGTTGCGCAGCGGTCAATGATGCTGCGCGCCTCTTCAAGGTGTCGAGTGTTAGGATTTCAATCTCTGGGTTTAGAGTCGTCTTCGTAGTGGTAGTGTCATCTAAGGAGACTCTTCCTCCTGGGTTAAATAACACAGGGATAACATAGAGTATGTTTGAAACTGCTATGTTACGCAGTTACGCAGGCTGCCAGGGAAACTCGAAGCGAGCACGAGGCTTACTGGATCAGGCTTATGTTTTCGAGGGTTGAGCATTGAAAGCTTGAGGACTCAGGGTGGGGCTTTGGGCACTGTACAAAAATAAAACAAGCAACCCAAGATGTTACAAACCCTAAACCCTAAACCCTAAACCTCCGTTAAACCTCCGTTTAGGCATAAGGCCGGTCATGCCAGCAAAGTATTTCCAACATCCGAAGCTCACAGAAACCCTGGGCCCACAAACGTTTTATTTGGTCTAGAGCGCACGAAGATGAAGGGCTGCTCCACTGCGCAGAAACTAGCGAAGATTTGCTGTGCGATGTTATTGTCATTCTGTGTTGCATGAAGGGGCACCTTTCATACAAGTCTACTTCATAACAGCATTCTGCGGGAATGCGGACATTTAGTTTTTGAGAGTTCCACGGTGCACCCAGCAAACCTAGGTTCAAGATGTTTTCGGCCGCACACATTGCATCCAGACCCAGGGAAGCTGGCACCCCTTGCAGGTGCTCATGGTCTCGCCGGGATGCGACTCACCCGACCTCAGCGACCGGGCGCGATACCCGTTCCTCGGACGTTCCACAGCAGGGAGGGCCTGCACGTGAGTTGGTGTTGTATACCCCTAAGGGTCCATGTACTCATATAGTATATACATTGGCCCGAAAGTACCTACGACATACTGACTACTTTAAGGCCAAAGTATATTAAGTATATACTATTTGGGTACGTAGACCCTTGGGGTACCTGATGACCGGAAGCACAGAGGTATTTCACTCGCATGACGCCCTCCGATCGTTTCAAAGTCACGGCCATCTACGAGGCAGGGTTGCGTGCTGTTGATTTAGGGTTTAGGGTTTAGGGGTTTAGGGTTTAGGGTTTATTGACTAGGTTCTGAGCATTTGGGGCTGATGAACCTGCCGTGTCTTGATTAAGCCGAAGATGAAGCAGCCCGAATGTGTTCTGGCGCAACCAGTCCGAAGAT